GTTACGAATGAAATGTCATTAGTTATATTTATGTAGTGTTGCTGTAAATATTAAAAAATTTGATTATGGTAGGAACCGAACGGAACCGAACCGATCCGAATCGAATCGAACGGAACCGAACCCGAACGGTTCCATAATTATATTTGGACCCGACAGGTCCATTTATTAAATACCCGAAAGTTTTGGGTCGGTTCGGGTCTCTTCAGAACCGAACCGAACCAACCCACGGACAACTCTACATGAGGCAATAACGCCCAAATACACGAGTGCTTCCGTCGCTGGAATAACCACGGTCCGAATGGAACAACACCAAGGTAAAAATGACTATATTTTGGCACTCAGACTGTATCATCAAGCTGCAACTATTTCAACCTTATAATGGTATATATATGAGAGTCACCCAAAGGTCTCCATCGACTGTTGTGGGGTGATAGTTGACGACATCTGGAGCATCCATTCATTTAGACAAAAACACGACTTTTATTTGAAAACACAATTTTGCACTATAACAAACCAATAGATTTAATAAATCAGTCGACTGGTCAACACATCCAGTTAGCATGGGTTATTTGCATCATTGTGTCATCTTTACATGCACCTTTGAAGGGACAACTATTCGAGACAATTTGACATTTAAACCAGCAAATGGCCATAAACCATGTAGAACAAATTTGGAGTATTGTTTGTATTGTGTAATATAGGCTGATTGTAATCTTCGCGATAAGTTAATGTTATTTTTTACGTTTCTTTCTCTCTATTTACCTTTTAGTTTCTTTTATTTATTTCTTATTTTGATTCAAACTGAGGACAAAATGATCATCTTACGATAAATTTGATATTTTAGGACGTTTTGAAGGTTAGAGACCTAGGTTGATAGAAATCAAAGGCTTGGATCCAATTTCACAACATTCAAAGTATAGGGACCCCATGTGGAACTTTCCCCAAAACGAAAATGGCTTCCTAACCAAAGGGGGAAACCTACCTCTCACGTTTTTGTTCAGCGTGTTACTGCCTCTGCAATTTAAACAAAGTCGCCTTTCATTGATCGCTACTGCAGTCTGCAGACAATTGAAAACAGATATCAAGTCGAATATAGTCCAACGGCCAACCTACACCTATTGTCCAAGCAGTAGAAATCGCATTACCCTGAGCAATCAAAATGGCGAGAGCCGGTGGGATAACGAACGCGGTGAATGTGGGAATCGCAGTGCAAGCTGATTGGGAAAATCGGGAATTCATTTCCCACATCTCTCTTAATGTCCGTCGCCTCTTTGACTTCCTCGTACAATTTGGTACCCGTTTCGTATAAACCCCTTTTTTCCTTATATCTCATTTTGATTTGATGGTTTTTGAAGATTAATTCTTTCTTCCTTCTCAATTTTAGAAGCAACCACAAAAAATAAGTTGGCAAATTTGAATGAGAAGCTCGATACGTTGGAGCGGCGTCTCGAATTGCTGGAAGTACAAGTGAGCACTGCTACAGCCAATCCATCTTTGTTTACGACCTGATTAATTCGGAATTCTCAGATCGAGGTCTGTCATAAATAGTGCGGTTGATTTCGTGGTTGTATTTTGATTTTCGCGGTGGACAACTTCTTCTTGCTGTCGTTATTGTGTAGAATCTTTATGCATATATTTTTATATCAAAATATAAGATGTTGGAATGTTATTTCATGGATTCACGTCTAAAATTTTGGTTGCTATCCACTTTGTTTGAAATGTTTTCTTTGAATCAGTTTCCATTGCTTAAAGAACCTAAAGGAGCATGCCAAGGTTGTATGTCTTTTTCAACCTACTCAAATCCAATCCATTTGGACCTCTCAAAGGTTCTAACCAAGGAGCACTAACATCCCAAAACCGCATACTTTCTCCTCCAAAAATGACTTCTTCGGCCGAGGAACGTATTAGATATTTACCTAAACCGTAGGTCCTTTCGCATATCCTACATTAGCTCCAAAATGTTGGTGTCTTTCTAGAAAAGTAAATGCTTGAGTTTGAGAAGCTTCTGGTTTAGTATGTCCGTAAAACTCACTAGGATAAGCGGTATTATTGAATCAGACAAAACAACAAGCAATCAAACTAAAAATGGATAAAGCCGCTAAACTATAAGATAAGTAAGCTGGAAAAGGATCCTGTGAATTCGAAAGAATTGAAGATGGAGCCGTATGAGATGAAAATCTAATGTAACTTTCTGTAGAGTGGCAGTGAGGGTGACTTATCTGTCAACTTTTCCACTATCACCCAAAAAAAAAAAAAAACTTCGCCTTACATAAAGTTGTCAGAGTACAATCAACCTCTGAATTTGAAATCACTGCTTATATACCTAGTTGTGCTTAGAGATATGAGTTTGATAGGATTTTAAAGTAGAGTTGATAGAAATTATGTTTGTTTAGATTAATTTTAATATTTGATAATGTTTTACTTTATTAGAAATACATTTTATTTTAGCTTTTTTTATCCTGTGCCTTAAAAAGGAACTTAGGATTTCATTGATGTATTCTATTCTTGACGATTGAATATTGATATCTTCTTCCCTAGATTCTTCGTATTCTTCCCCCACTCTCCTCATCTTCTTCCCTATTTCTCTTTTTGTGTTACGACCTATATCAAGAAGTATATTGGGAAACGCTATGTTATCCATAGGTTTAATTTGAGCTGATATCATGATAATCTCAATAACTGAGATAGATATAGCTGGTTTTCGCGACATCTATTTCAGCATATTGTCTCTGCTATGTTTCACTACTTTCATAGGGTTCTCAGTTCTTTCCCACTTCTCACTGATGCTTTCTTTATTTGATTTTCTGTCCAACGCAATCCCATTTGTCTAAAGAGATTTGTTTATCGTCAACATTTTCCTAGCTCAATTTGTTCCCACTCACAGAAATTTAGAATATTCAAATGCCTTATTGCTGCAATTTATTACTGTCACACACACTGGTGGAGGGGCACAGTGGAGGAAGTAGGAATTTGAGAACCTCTTTTTCACTGAAAATATTTTTTTACTTAATAAAAGCAATTGTGCAGAAAAGCTGTAATTATTATTTATTAAGAAATAATTAGGTTGATTGTCGAAAATCAAATGTTACTGGAGGATGGTATATATATAAAGAGAGAAATGGTCTACTAAGTACCACTAACATGACACATCTATTCATTGATTGATAAGTTTAAGGTGGATCTCAAAATTTGAATTAAATTTGTTATACACCAATTAATCATGTGCCAAATCATCCGTGCTTGACATAAGCTAAGCACCTGTACTTAGTAAATAATTTCTCTCTATATATATAACTATAGTTTTCATATATATAGGGAGAGAGACACACATACCCCCAACCGGATTCCTTTTTGTTACTTTCCATTTCTTGCACTAATCAGTTGCATATTAGTTTATAACACACACACATAAATATGTACTTAGTATTTGTAAGAATTTTCATTTTAGCTGTGATTTTTGGTTACAAGCATATAAATATTTTTTAAGTCAAAAAAATCATTATGACTTGGATGGATACTTTGAATTAGTAGAAAGTAAAATTATATAAATTGTTTATTCATGTTTCTGTCTAGATAATATTTACCCCATAACTTTGAACGCCAAAAAGAAAATGTATATTTTAGAGACTATGTTGCTCGGACTCGGGTACGGGTACGTATCTATGTATCGGATCTCTTATTTTCTAAAATGTAGGACACGGAGATATGGCTAAAAAGAATCCAAATTTCGGGCACGGGTACGTGGGTACGTCTTTCAAACTTCCATGTTTTTACTAATCCAGGATGTCATTTTGAATTGACCAAAATTAATTATTTACAATGAATAATAAGGGGTTAAGACTATACAAACAAAATCCTAAACCATCATTATAGAGAGAGAAATAAGAAAAAAAAGAAAAAAATGGAAAGAAAGAAAAAAGAAGAAGAAAAAGAAGGGAAAACCTAGTATTGCCATCTTTCTCCACCCCTTTGATGACCACGTTAGGTTTATAGAGAGCAAAAGCCGTAAAGAAAAGAAAAAAAAAGAAGCAAAAACGACGAAGTGTCCGGTTGAAACTTGGAGAATCCGATACATATCTCATACCCATACCCATGTCGTGTCGTATCCGACACGGGTATTCCAACTATTTCGAAGAGTCCGAGCATCAGAGTTTAGAGAAATACATATGTATAAAGTATAGTCGTAATTGTAAAACATTGTAACGCTTTTAATATCAATATATTATTTTATTGTTTCTGAGTCCTAGCTCCACCCTTGGTCACACAATACCGTAAGGTGCGTACAGAGACAAAGTGCTATACACTCTTGGTAATTACAATGTGTTGATTAGATCAAGATGGTGCACCATAATCATTGCCTATTTTGGGAAGAGAAGGCATGAAGATTTTGATTGGCATCATTTGTACTCTTTGTTGGGAAAAGAATGGCAACTAGACATCTGTTTTCGTATTAATGGTTATCATGGCACACATATCATATGATATTCTTATAATGGTAACAGTAGTATCAGCTTTTCATTAAAGAACTTAATGTCAATGTGCAAGAATTCATACAGTTGTTTTAAAATTACGGAAGCAAATTGAGTGATGTAAACAATTTATGGAATCGATCCTTACATTAGAGGGTGATCTTACATTTTGTCTTTGGGATTAAGTAGGGGCTTAAGTTGAATCATCGCCCATAAATGCGTACCAATTCAATGCCAATTCCTAGTGTCTCTCACATGAATTTCATGGTTGATTGGATGTTTAGTCTGCTGCTTATGTATTTGCTTGTGAATCCAAAAGACCATTGGTTGATTGCAAAAATAGAAGCTGAACCTGCTTTAACCAACATGTCTTGAAGTCTGTACATGGTACTAGTAATAACAAAATAGAGAAAGAGTGTATTGATCATAAGTGTTAGATCAATGGCCTACAGAAATTCTTGGGGGTATTGAGTTGCATAATCTCTTAATCTGATTATCTCTCACAATCTCTGACATTGTCCACCCAATTAACTATCTTGGTTGAGGAGGTGGTGGTTGCATAACAATAGCCGATGGTTCAGTTGGAAATTGAGTTTGTGGTATGACAATAGGCCTCTCCATAGAGTAGCGACGGGACCCTCCGAAACTCTCTATGGATTTCATGTATTCTGATGCATTGTTTTCTATGATAAAAGCATCCTCAAGTTCACGAACAATGTCAGCCATGCATGGGCGATAAGCTGAGTAAGGCTCAATACATGCCAGAGCTACCTCCACCACTCTCCACATTGCTTCAGCATGGTATCCTCCCTTTATGTTAGGGTCCACAATTTCTTCGATTCTTGAGTTTCTTATATGGGGCTTGGCCTATATTCAAGAAAAGTTGCTTGTATGGTTATTTTAATAAATATACAATGACTTAATTGAGAGAAAGAGGAATAAGAAGTGTCAACATTAAGCTCTTTTGCTCCAAAATTTACCTAAAAGTACTGTTGATAAATCTTCATCGAGGTCATGATTGACCTAGCAAAGATCTAGTGAAGGACAAATTTATATGTTTGTGTTCAAATTTCTTCATTACAAGTAAGATAATATTTATTTTTTTCTGCTAGTGACTGAACAAAGTAATCCTCCAGATACACCATCCTTTTCAGCCTATTAGATTTTTGGGAAGTTTCTTGCACATCTACTTGTTTCAATTGTTGCTCATTAAGTGTTTGTTCTGTCAAATCAGAACATTGTATATGCCTCCATTCAAATGCAGTTCTTTTTAACTTGCTCTCCGAATAGGGATGTAAGTTCTTTTGTTAGAAAAGCAAGTACGTGTGGGTGCATTGTGCAAAATTTTAATACTTTAATGCACAATCCATAATGATTAATATTGATATATAAATTGATATCTTTTGAGCATTTGATATTTTCATTTGGCTGACTTCATCCATTTTTGTTCAAGAGACTTAGCTTATGTTTGGCTTATAAATTGTTTATAAACACTTGAGCCACTTTTTCTCCACACATTTCGAGGAATCCTCAATTACTACTCACTCATCCACCAATTATTTCTATCTATTTATAATTTAAATGGTTTATAAATACTTTTCAAACATTCTTTTAATTCTTTATGATAAATGATTTAAATAATTAACATGTGTCTCTAGGACCAGGTACTTTGATCTAATCAACGCAAGTGTCCTTGATGAAGAGTCTCAAAATCATATTGCTGACATTGTCAGCACTCATTAAAGAAGCAATAACAGCAAAAAGGTGCAGGCATGCAATATATTTTTATAGGTAGAATGCTCAGACATTGGAGCTTACCCATTCGACTAAGCTCCACTCATTTTGTGGTCTTTTTATGTTGAGAGGCTCTCGACCACTTACGATTTCCAGTAAAACAACCCCAAAGCTAAAGACATCACTTTTTGTTGATAAATGTTGTGTGGAATAGTACCTGAAAGAAACAAACTTTAAAAAATCAGAAGTTGTGCTGCATGCATAATTCTTGAAACCACTTTGGGCTGTTGGAAATGCTCAAAAATGGTTTCATAGGATTCTTCTGCAAATATCCACACAATATGAATGCACACACCCTATCTTCACACTGAGGTATTTATGTAGAATAAATGGATAATTCCTCATGTGACATGTTTAGAGCAAGTTCTGTGTTATTGAATAATTAAACCTTAAAATGTTATGACTGACGACATATGTGGAACTGAAATTCATGAAGCATCAATTCAAATTTGAATGGTAGCATTTTTCAGATTTCAATTCCAAAGCTAAAGATCCTTGTCTATCCAGTTCTACTTAAATAAAATTCAAATCAGAATTTCTTTCCTTTTCTGGTTCTGCTGAAGGATTAAGATTTAGTGTAAGGAGGTGCATACTTACTCTGGATCCAAGTATCCAGCAGTACCCCTTACTTCTAAAGAAGTGCCACTGTCCCCTTCTTGAGGTGCATATTTAGAAAATCCGAAGTCTGCAACCTTTGCGGACATGCTATAATCTAAGAGTATGTTACTCGATTTCACATCCCTATGTATGACGCAGCGCTCAGAGAAGGTATGAAGATATGTCAAACCTGAATGATATGATACTCTTCCGTCATTTTAATACACATTCAATGTTAAGAAAGGAGAAAAAAACGAGGGAAAAGAAAATTGAGCAATTGGAAATTATACAGGTGAAAAAAATAGCACAAGATACAAGTGGTGTGACATATGGCACTTTTTAGAGGAATTACATAAGTTTGGACTGAATTTTATGCTTCCTTTTTATACTTTTGAGCTGTTTTAATTATATATTACCTTTTAAGAGTTAAGGATATTTTTGTCTCTAACAACGTTGGATACAGTTATATTTTATTTTGATATTAATCATGTTTCTTTGCTCTGGAAGAACTATAATTTCCCTAGAAAAATATTTGGTGTTCAAAAGATTCTAAATCTCTAGGAGAGACATATGATATCCTAAAGTTACTCCCGTCATTTTATCATTGTATGAAAGCTTTTAACTCCCAAAGCTGGTACTCTGAAATGCACAGAATATTAATAATTTGCTTGAAATTTTGTTGCCTCCTGCTCACAAGAAGGGAGATAATTGAAAATATACATATTCTGATACTTGCCTCGTGCAGCACCTAAAGCTATTGAAAGTCTGGTTGGCCAATCTAAAATCTTCCGCTTTGCTGCTGCTCCTGCAAATTAATTTAGAGTCGAGAAATGAATGCTAATTCTATACGGGGCCTAGTTTGAAAGAGGTCTAAATATAAATAATTATTACCGTATAGGCGATCCTGTAGGGAGCCATTAGACATAAATGGATAGACAAGAATTTGTTGTTCATTCTCACAGCAGTAGCCAAGAAGTGGGACCAAGTTTTCATGTCGAATTGCAGAGAGCAAATTTAACTACAGAATTGATTGACAACAATTTTTGGTTAGCCTCTTATGGAGACAAGATCCGGATGCATAATTGATTTAGTACTTGTTAGTTATAGGAAAAAAGGAAAACTGAAAATCCTACTGTGAAAGTATGAAGGTAGTAGAAATGTTATAAATCACTTTAGTTAATGCACTGGATAGCAATTGATAAAGAAAATAGTTAAAATCTTTGCTTTACCAGGCACCAAGGATCAAATCCCCTATTGCAATTAAATACAGTTGGAAGAAACATAAATCCAGAAAAACAGTTGCACGCTCTAGTTGGTTGTGCAAACTATAATCTTCTCGGGGTAAGTAGTTTAAATTACACTGGATTCACCTCATTGTCAAATTCACGAGTTCCCTGGGTTGAAGTCGCTGATCGGACCTTCACTGCCACTTCCTGACCATCTGGTAGAGTACCACGGTAAACTGATCCGAACCCACCTTCACCTATCAATGTCTTGTACTTTTCTGTAGCAATTTCTACGTACTGCAACGTAAAGCTCTGGATATATATGGACTTTGCTACAATATTATCCATGCTTGGAACTGCATAAACTGCACTTGCATTTGAAAAGGTGATGTCACGGGCACTGTTATTCGAAGATTCAAATTAATTTGATTACTAATATTGCATGGTAAACCGGAAAGTAAAAGAGAACATGGATGAATAACCAGCAAAATTGTTTCAAATTATGCTCTTATTCTTTCTCGTGTGTATTACTGCATCTATGTTTTGCTACTTGGATTTTTGTATTCCTGTTAAGACTGCTTATGACTGTTTCTTTAACACTGATGTAACAATAAGTAGCAGGTGTGTGACTATGAGTCTGACAATATAACATTCAATCTGCTAATTTGTCAAAAAATAGCCAAGGATACATTAGCTAGCCTTGTAACTACAAACATAATATCTTGGGAAATATAAGTTTGTTGTTAGTGTCGTCAACTGACAGAAGAAAGTTCAATATTGGCTTTGGGTAGCTTCTTTTTCAATCTTGGTCTCTTCAAAGTATATCGAAAGAGTTTAATGTACTTACTCTTTGACATCGGGTGTCCTTTTGCATCAAATTTTTGCAGAGCCATCCTTTTGTGTTTGTATAGGCAAGCCAAAGAGATTCCAAATACCATGATAACTAAGAGAGATCCACCTGCAGCTATGCCTATCCAAATTCTTTTCCTTAAATGGGAATATCCTTGAGCAGAGCATTTCCCGTTGCTAAGATATGAAAGCAGAAAATCAAAGGAAAAGGAGTCAAGTCTTCTCCCCCCTCTCTCACTCACTAATACACACACACAAACACAGACATGAAAACATTTTTCTCGATACAAATTTATCCTGGCATTCTTTAGATAAACTTCATACTCTGTAGTAAGATTCGATCTGTTTAGGCTGTAGGGAAGATTTTGGCTGGAACGAGGATTGCAGCCAAAATATCTGGATGAAGAGGAAAACGTATACTGAGTTAGGTACATCTCTGCCTAATAATTAGCCTAAGCAGAAATCAATTCACATTGAAAGTGTAGTCTATACGTATCAAAATGAATTTGTTCATAAACTTACAACGTTGTCAAATAGGGCAGCGCGTTTAGAGGTTCTGTGATATTTCCCGTAAGATCATTGTGGCTCAGATCCCTGTAAAAATTTTACAAACAAAGCAAAGGGTTATCTGGTGAACTATAGTGAAATGCCAAATATTTTATTGGGTTCGTAAGATTCAAGTTAGCTGATATTCCTGGAAAGCATCTTTTATGATACCGTGCTTATGCTCTGTTATCTTGACATGCAACTCAATTCAGCTCAACAAATCCTTATCCCACACTTGTGGGGTGTTGGCTGCATGAATCCTCCCTTTCCTCTTTGCTCTAGCAAGGGCCATCTCCAAAGTTAAATCACAAAGGTTCATATTAACTACCTCATTCCATGTGCTTTTAGGTCAATACGCTCCCTAGTATATGATCATGGTCCATATGTGAGTGGCCGAAAGATCAATCTTGATGTGCATGCTCTCTAATGTGTGAGCATTATATTTCTCAAGTATCATGTGAACAATTGTATTTTGACTATGTTTTATTGCCTCATATCTCATAATAACCGTGTCAGCAGTTTAATGCCATATAGAATTGGAAGACTACGAGTGGTCTTATGATCAATATGGTTAATGGTTTAAGACAGTTGCACTTGAAGGTTGGTTGTATTTGCTTCATGTCTGATTTAAAACATATATTGAATGCAATTACTTAAAACTCGATAGTTTGAGCTTGCTTAAAGATAAAAAGACTGTGTAGGAAGCAAGTTTGTAGAGTTAAGAAATCATTTTCCAGGATTTAGCGAGACAATTCGGTGTGCACACTTGCCCCCACCCCATGAGAAAATAATATAGCCCCCGTTGGGGCCACCTTTTTATCTCATTAAAATAAAAAATATGACTGTTATCCATCACATCAACATTTAAATTCAAATTTTCTATCTCTTGTGTGGGCCCCAATAACGACTATATTTTTCATTCTCATTCTACAATAATTTGGCTCAAACATGGCCTAAATTCATGAAATCTGCATATCTGAAAATTATTGTGAATTCCCGTTTGGGCTGCCTTATTTTCTCATTAAAATGAAAAATATGACCGTTATCCATCACATCAACATTTAAATTCAAATCTTCTATCTCTTATGTCCTAATAACGGTTATATTTTTCATTATCATTCTACAAAAAAGTGGCTCAAACAGGGCCATAGTATTTGATCATTACGTAAGTAAAGTGTGTCTGAGTTTACTTGGTCACCCAGCAGGTGAAATTTTGTAAAAGAAATTATAGTGATTGTGGCGTATAGTAAGTGATACTTTTGTGATTTATGGAGATTGACTTATTTGGAATTCTAAACTGAGAGACAGAACAAAAGGTTATAGTTTCTTGGTAAAAAGTGAAGACATTTTGTGCTCTAACCTTAAGTTCTTGAAAATTGCTCTCTCTAGGAAAGGGAAATAAAGATATAGTGCTAAAATTGATTCTAGAGGTCATTACACTGATGTCAACGCTGAGGAAGCTGGAAACTCTGGAATGCTACCGGTGAACCTATTATTGCTCAAGTTCCTGCATTTGACCGTATGGTCAGTGAGAAACAAACAAAATCACTGAACCAAACAATAACTCATTTTAAGAGAACTTAGTCATACAATTCCTTCAAGTGAATCAGTTTAGTGATACTGGGAGGGAGTGGCCCTGTAAGGCTTTCGAAGGATAGATCCCTGGAACAGAAGGTCGATGAACAGATCATGTTATGAACAAGGTGTTAACAAACACAATGCTTCATAGATAATCGACGATAATGATAATAAATGAATTAGTTGTTGTTTAGACTCTGATGAAGAGAGGAGACTCACAGTTTAGTTATGACTGAGGAGCTGTTAAGAGGCGCACAAGACAAACCATGCCATGGAAGAGGGAGACATGGATCTCCTGACCAAGTTTTCAACACTTCACTATCTTGATTGAGCTCCAGTAGCTCGTGCTTCACATTGGTAATTACACCCACTGAACAGATAAGGGTGAGGAAAAGTCATATATAAGGTATTCATGCTTCAAAATGATTCCTATTCTTATTATGATGACTATATACGAATTTGAATTTCCTGCTTTTACCTGATTTACGTCCTTGCATAGTCAGTCTTTTATGATGTGTAATTTGATATCACTATTCTAACAAGAAAGAGGGGGGGTTTCTATTTTACTCTTGGATTCTGTCAATTACTTCAGATGTAATACTAGCCAAAATTTTGAGCTTATCCGTAGGTGATGGTGTTTTCAAGATCTGCCCTTTTAAGGCTTCCTCCATCCACTACCCAATTGGCCCCCTACCCCTACCCCCACCCCCACCCCAACCCCAACCCGCCCCAATTGTCTGGCTTCAAGTATCTACCTTGTTGATTTGGCTACACGGCTTATAAAAATATATCCAGTTCTATCCAGCACTTGTACTAATCTAGAATTCAATAGACTAGAAAACTACTGCAAGATATTGGATTGTGTTATTTCATCTTATTAATATGGCAGGATTCATTTAACTCAAGGAACATTATTTGTGTATCAATTATGATGATATCTTGTATTGAAGTTTCTATAGCTCTCTCTCCTTTAAAAGCAATTCAATAGTCAAAATTCCAATAACCAATAGAGTAAGATCATACCTTCTGTACAAGTAGATTGAATTGACAGGAATAGGCAAATTATACAAGAGGTTGCCAGTCTTGTAATTACATCGTTATTCAACACTTCCATCATCCTGTTATCTAGCCGGAAAGTTTCCCCATCAGGGTCGTCGAATCATAATCGGGATTTTTTGTTTCTTTTTATGGGAATCAAGAAAAATAGCTTTATTTTCAGAAAAATTGAACTTACAAGTTTCTTCTATGATTTGCTTGAGGAAGAGGAATTCCCAGGCGACAAAATGGCATAAAAAAAACTTGGAGGAAACTGTGTTTTATTATCAGTTTGACTTTAGAGGGGTGGGTAGAACTGAAACAATAGAGGGAGGGAAGTGAGAAAATATCAAATTAAAATATTATTTAAAATTTTGATTAAATTGGCAATGTTTTAACTAACACAATATATTATTAATATAATTTATATTTGTTTATTATTAGGTAATTTTCTAGTACGTTAAAATAATGTTGGCGGAGCAACCATTCACATATTATGATTCATCTTTTGTTCCTTTGTCTAAAATCCGTCCCCCTCGTTGTCTGTTACCACTGGAATTTGGCTTTTAATAATCGTGTTTTGAATGTGATTAATATTGATCTTCTATTTGTTAATACACAAAAAGATAAAGTTTATTAAGTATATATGACTAATTTGTTCCCAAAAAATTAAAACAAACAATGATTGTTTGATTGGCTGATCAAAGAGTGGTTCATATTTTTCAATTGAATGGTCTGTAAGTAAGTTGTACCTAGGAATGGAAATCGAGCCAAACGGCTCGTTTATTAATACTCAAAAAGATAAAGTTTATTAAGTATATATGACTAATTTGTTCCCAAAAAATTAAAACAAACAAGGATTATTTGATTGGCTGATCAAAGAGTGGTTCATATTTTTCAATTGAATAGTCTTTAAGTTGTACCTAGGGATGGCAATCTAGCCGAACGGCTAGTCTGCTTGACCGCTCGGCTCGTGAAAAGACGAGCCACGAGCCCAAGCCGAGCTTGGCTCGTGGGCTTGTCTTACGAAAGGTTATTTTTTTATTTTTTTTAGAAAAAAAAGTATGTCTTTAAAAAAAATAACGAGCTCGGCTCATGTCACAAGCCGAGCTAAGCCGAGCTCGTGGGCAAACGGGCCGGCTTGGCCCATTGCCATCCCTAGTTGTATCGTAAAAATACGTGGCATCAATAGTTAAGTAATGGAGCTCAAATAGAAACCTACGAAATGGTTATCTCGATCCAATATAGCAATGCATCACAATTATGAATTTCAATTATTTTATTCTTTCTTCACTTTCTTTCATCGAATACGCTCTACAACTCTTTATTTTTTAGTGGACAATTAATTAATTAAAAGAAGATTCTGACAAAAATGAAAAATTACTTCTACAACTACAAAACGAAAGGAACGCATTCGGTCAGGTAGGTCGATATTTAGATCAATTATTGGTACGGTCAAAATAGAAGGATGTAGGGAGTCGGGCTGAAAGTCTATCACAAGGAGAAGATTTGACCTTAGATTTCTCGTTGACTAGTATAGATGTACCCAGCTCAAGCAAATGCTAGCTAGACTGAATTACAACATGTATTGTCAAAGTAGTCATGTCATATAAATTCAGAAGTAAACGACTCATTATCTTTAAGCTTTCTCACAAAAAAAAACTCTTCTTTTATTCAAGGATAAAGTTATTAACCAACAAACAAATATGAAACTTCTTAAAAGATGAGATCAATGTATAATCAAGTTTTCCCCAGCTATCGTTTGGGGTCAATCCAAAGTACAAGGACTTAGCCCAACAAGTAAGTTGGTAGGTAAATGAGTAGAAGAGACCATATAAGTATGACTAGAGAAGGCTACCAAAAATCAAGTGGCATGATGTGAAGTCAATTTAGGTTACACATTTATCTTGTCAAGATAGGTTGATGAAAAACTTAACCTATTAGTCGAACAACAAATATTGAATGAAAATTGAATAAGAAGTCAATTCGGATGTTAAAGACTAAATTAGTTTTATCGTCGGACAATAGTAATCGATATAAGTCTAATATTAAGTAAGAACTAACTTGACATGCAAGAGGTGACATTGAAGACAAGATTTTATATGCACACTTTCAGGAGTTTCAAAGGAGATTTATGTGTAATTTCCTTGCAACATGACTAGCCAGCCAATGATCCGAGGATAGTTGTGCCTCCATCAAGGCAGATCATGATAGACTAACAATCAAATTACAAAAGAAATGTGAAGGCTTTGTAACTTCTACAAGCACAATCCACATGGAGAAAGTGACTCGAAGAAGAGCATGATTGCATCTTCACTCCCTCCACAGAAAGGGGCAATAATAGAATTATTCTTAGTCTTTTTAATTTATTTCAATCATTTCAGAGTTATATTCTCACATTTTTACTTGAGTTTCAGAGTTATATTGGCCATTTGATAATCGATTTGTCAACAAATATTTATTTTGCAATAGATATCTCCATGAGTAAGATACAAAGAGGAGAAACTTGTTGTCTATTGGGTAAAACTAGTCCTCACCAAGACATCGACAAGAAATTGTACGACAATGTTCAGTATCAACAAAGAATATAATTCTTGGTGGAAAGGCACACGGAATACACAAGGAAAGATACAGTAACCCATGCTTCGCATGATTGAAACTTGTGGATTTAAACAAAATTAGAACTTGAAAAATTTCCTCAAAAACTAGAAATATAAATGAATTGAGTTAGCATCTTTTTATTATTTTAACATATTAAGAAGGAAAACAATCAAATAACCTTAAAATGGTGCAATTTATTGAGTACGGATTGGACAGACAAAGATATTTATGACATTTATGCCCTGTTTGATGGGGCGTTATTTTCCATAGAAAATGGAAAACAAATTTCAACTTCCACTTTTATCTTGTTTGATACACTTTATTTTCCATGGAAAAAATTTTCCACCTTTGGCTCACATGCTCGCCAATTACTTGGTTTTGTGGAATTGATTTTCCATCTTTTTTTTTTTAACATTGGAAAAATTTTTAGATACAATGTTTTAAAAAATTATCATTTTTATTGACAATTTTCATACAAAACAAAGCCAAACGAATGGTATTCGGAATGGTAGTTTTTTTGAAAAAAAAATTAATTTTTTGACAAATGAAACAAATTCTAGACCCAATGGTAAAAGAAATTATCACTTTAATGGACAATTTCTATGAAAAAGAAAGTCAAATGGACACCAAACTTTCAACATTTTCCATGTGAAAAATTATACCAATCAAATACAATTAATTACAATTCACAATAAAACAATTTCTAAACAATTCAATTCCCTAGAATTCATTTTCTTTCCACCATTTTTCCACATTTGCAATCAAATGGACCATTAGTATTTTTACTCGGTCAACAGGGTTTGGTAGTGATGGATTAAAATCAGATTTTTAGTAAATTTTGATAAAAATTTATGAAATGTGTGATTAAAAATTTGTGGATCCATAAAATATGTAATATTGTTGATTTTGATTTAAATTAAAGTCAGGAAATAGCCAAATTTCATTAATTGAAAAAGGATCGAACTTATTTATTTCGTTGGGTCAAGGAATGTGTCATTTAATATTTTTCTTATAGCGACATTAGATTGGTCAAATAATAGAACTAAGATAAGAAATAAAAGGTAAAATATTGATCTAGGTCTACTTGAGTTTTTGTTTATTATTAATAAGCTATTAACCAAATGGTCAGCAAATTGCTATTTACATTATTTGGAAAATGTCACCAAATTCTTAAATTTAACATTGAAAAATCATCAACATTACTTAGAAAAATTATTCAATCTGAATCATATATGTCTAGTCAAATACGTTGTTGATGTTTCTTAATTCTCTAGTCTATATCTCATTGACTTTCTCAACATTATTCTCTACGTGTAGAAGGGGAAGGATTTTCTGTTGTTTAATCGAAATATGTATGATATATTTGAAACTTTGAACAAAGAATTTTTCAAAGGGGACTTCTTTTGTTATTTCTTTTGGCTAAAGACATTCCTCCGTTTGATGTCCATTAAAAAGAGTTTTTAGAAAGAAAAAAATGAGTTTTGAAAGAATGATTTTTTGAAGAATATGTAGTAAAAAAGTAGAAAAAAATTGAGTTTACTTGTAAAATATTTGATTGTAAGAATGTATAGTTAAAAATGAGCTTTAGAAGAAAAAAAAAGTTGAAGAACGATAGACAAACAGGATTCTCTTTTTTTATCATTAATTAATACACAATTGCAAATATTTCAAACGTGCACATAATTCTAATTAATATTATTTTAAATTAGACAGTGGGGTCAGAGGTGAACCCAACACAAAAAGTTCAGCATGAGTGGACGTTGACCATTGACCGTTGACAATCAGTGATTATAAGAGCGAGATCGTTTATTAATATTTAAATAAATAATATTAAAAATTATATATTAATTGTTTTTGTTCTCAGCTGTGGGAAGTTTTTATTTGAGACTGACAAATGGGTTGAAGATGTAGGTTGTTTTATGATACCGTAACAAGTTTAATTTGATCAGCGGTCTCTTGGTGGTGTTGATTTTTTTAAAAAAAATTCTTTAAAAATGGAAAAGTTGCTTCCATGTAGTCCACACATTTCCTCTTTTATTGATATAATTCTCTTTATTTTAGCTTTATTTATGTACTAAGTATAACATATTTAACAACACGGAAAGATATTTTCTAGCATGTCTATTTCACAATATCTTAATCTTTTCAAAGGTTGCAAAATGAAGATTCTAGCAATTAAAAATTAACCAAAACATGGGAAACCAGTTTTGAAGAAAAATAAAATAATTATCTAATCAAAAATGTTGTACAAGTCTTGTTTAATAACCAAAATGCACAATACAAAGCAATTACATAGTGCTACATCTTTGTCTACCAGAAATTTCTTTTATCCCTTTGTTAACTAATATCCTTCCAGTATTTTTTTGGAAATTCTCTCTTGATGTATCCCCTATTTGAAGTGTGGTAATTTATTTCTTCAGTCTCCCCCAACTTCACAAATCACAATCTCGACTCGAACCCTTACAACTGTAACCATTACAAGACAACAAGAAGAATTACTGAAAATGCTAATTGGTGAAAAACTGAAAATTGAAATGCTAATCTTCTTAATTCTTGTTGTTTTCTTCAAATTCATAATTAATCATAAATATAATCACAACAAAAAAAAAAAGGGAACGATAACAGAAAGCGCCACTTACCGGTGGTCGGTGCCCAATAGGCGGTAGCAAGAAGGTCAGCAACCGACATGCAGTGGGCAGTGGCATTGGCAAAACGCCGACGGCAGAGCAGGAAAAAGGAGAAGTGAAGATCGTCGATTCGCCACCCAGTGAAGGGGTGAAGGGAAGGGTTAGGACTTTGGAGTCTCAGCCGGGTATGTGATGATGATGATGATGATGATGATGATAAAATTTATTTCATTTAATTGAGCTTCATTTAAAAAAAAAAAAAAAGACCCAACTCTCTCAACTCAAAATAAAAGGGCCAAAATAAAAAGAAGGCCCAAAATTTTTTAAATATCCAACTCTCTCAACCTAAAACAAAGGGCCAAAAAAAAAAAAAAGGAGCCCAAACTAAAAATAAAGGTCTTCTTCCCATCTTCTCTCTGCAATAGCAATAGCGACCTAGCGCCCGACGGCATTGAAGACTACAGCGGATCCAACACGGGCGACCACACCCCCCTCGCTGGGTACTGGGTCCGCCCCTGGTTGCTATTCATTATTGAGTAATCGAAATTGGCATCGATCACTAGGTCCTTTATGGCCTCCAGAACCTTCTTCAACAGGCTACCTAACACAAGCCCAAGTTCTAGCATTTTTTTTTGTGGAAAATTAAGGTAAGGGATTGGTTTGAAAATTGGATAGAGAATCGAAAGAGCAAGAGCACAAATTTTGGAGAAGAAAATTAAGAGGGCTTAGGCTATAATATAGCTACGATGGGGCTCAGTATTGGGTGGGTTTTGAGCTTCTACAAGTTAAACCCATATATTTGGGAAAAAATATAACTTTTCGCAACACTTAACGAACGTTGCAGAAAGTGAAATTTTTCGCAACGTTTAGCTAATATTGTAGAAAGTTAAACTTTTTGACAATGTTTAATAAACGTTGTAAAATGTAAAACTTTTTGCAACAATTAGTGAATGTTGCAACATTTAATAAATGTTGCAAAAAGTAAGATTTTTAGCAACATTGAAGAAACATTACAAAAAGTGAACTTTTTTGCAACAATCAATGAACGTTGCAAAATATTATATATTGATAATTTCAACAACAGACACTAAATGTTGCTATAGAATCAAATTTTAACAACGTTGCAAAAGGCAACATTAGCAACATTCATTTATAAAATGTTATCAAAACTCAATTATGTTAATCAATTACAATATTTACTTATTAAAATGTTGCGATAAACCCCTTTAGCAACACTTAGTTATTGAATGTTGCCTTTTATGTGTTGCAAAAGACTATTTTTGTGTTGTGAACCCATATTTACTTATTACGCTTTTTTATTGCAATATAGATGTTTTTCATTAGGATAATTCTTATTGTACACTTTTGTGTACAACAAGTTTGACACTC